CACAAATATTCGATTTTGTTATCCGTATCCGATCCGTAATTTTTGGATATCCGCAACTTCGGATATTCGTAAAAATCTCAGATATTTGTGGATATCCATATCCGGCCTAAAATATTATAAAATTTTAAATTTAAATTAAATAATAAATTCAAATGTAAATAAAATATATAATCTATTTAAGATAAATGATATTTACAAATTTAAAATTCATAATTTAAACATTCCAAATCAACTCAAATACAAATATAATTATAATTTATCACATACAAATATATTCAAAATTCAAAATTCAAAACATTAAACATAATAAATCTTAATATTCAAAAGATTAAAATTATAAACCTCAATATATATAAAATTTTTTTTGAACCACCCTTAAAAACGTGTAAATATTAAGCATTTTAAATCTCCATATAAAATTATTCTTATATTTAATAATATTATTACAAAATACGGATCGGATCGGATATGTCGGATAATTCAATTTTAATATCCGTATCCGATCCGTATCCGACAAATATCTCTAAAGAAATATCCGTATCCGATCCGTAAACTCCGGATATCTGAATTTTCGGTTCGGATACGAATCGAATAACGGTTCGGATTTTTCGGATATTTTGCCCACCCCTAGTTCTAACCAACTCAAGCCTCGTTTAATATTTCAATTTTCAAGATCAAAAGATACATGTATATATATACATTGTATATATAGATTTTTGCTTTTAAGGGTTTAAAAAAAGGGCGAACGAAAAGGAAATGTATCGTCACCGCTAATACATTGGTGGCCAGTTTCTATATATAGATTGTATTCAGAGGTAAACACATTTTACCCAAACGGTTAGTAATGGTCGCGTTGACCTATTTTCCCGGAAAACTTCACATTTTCCGGGAAAATTAGATATCAATTTTGGGAAGTTAAATCCCCTTTTACGTTCGACGTACTCCCACTTTTTCATTCGGCCCCAAACCGAGAAAAAAAATATTGAGAAAAAAGAAAAAAAAATGGAGCCAAATAAAAAACTGGGGGCCGTATTGATCATCACGGTTTCTGCTCTGTTCGCCCTCTTCGACCCTGTCGAATCCGAATGTGTTCCTCTCGTCAATTCCTACGTCGCCAGATCTCTGCTCCCGGTTTTCCCGCAGTCGAACACTGGATCTCCGTCTCCGACTCCTTCGCCGGATATTCTCGCACCGTCACCGGAGATTGTCGCGCCATCGCCGGAGATTACCGCCCCGAAAGCGAGTCCACCCGCGGTTCCAACGTCGCGGAAAGAATCTCCGGGGGCTGCTCCAGCCGGGTCCAACTCTCCGACGAAACCTCCGGCGAAATCTCCGTCGCAGAGCAAACCCATGGCTCCGTCGCCGAACGAGCCGTTGATTTCTCCGGGAAAGATTCTGAATCTGAGCCAACAATTGTTACCCCCGGAATTTAAAAACATCTGCGAGAAAACAGATTTTCCCGCCCTCTGCGAATCCTCGATCCAGCCTCTGGTAAAGGGGGAGATCAAAATCGATCCGGAATCGGTTCTTCTCCTGGCGATCCAGGCGTCGATCGAGGCGACAAAGAAGGCATTGATCACCGCCGGAGAAGTGGCCGACGCCGCCGACTGCAAGGAGCTATACGACGACGCCGTTATGAACCTGGAGGACGCCGTTAACGCCGTTAAGTCACGTGACCCAGATACCGTTAACAGCGACCTGAGCGCGGCTCTGACGGATTACAGCACGTGCAACGACGGGTTCGAGGAGACGGGAGAGCCGAATCCGTTAGCTGACGTGGGCGACAACCTGATGAAGATGGCGAGCAACTGTCTCGCTATCGCCACGTTGGTTAAGTGACAATTTATGATGAATACGGCGTCGTTTTCAGGAATCATCGGACGACGTCGTTTTATAAAGGGAACACGATTAGGCTTCTGTAACATATACAGAGATATATTTTCTTACACATATCTCTCTTTCATGTCTCTCTGCCGACGTGGATTTTCCATGGAACCCGTAAAATGAGTAATATATATATATACACATTGAGTACATTAAAAACAATTATTATTATATTAAGAAAAAACTTTTAAAAAAAAAGAACAATTTTAACTTCAAATGCCGAAGCTTGAGGAACAAAACAGCTGGAGCAGTTGATCTCTCTGCTGTCACACTCACAACAACAAGAGTTTATTACAGCACAAGAGCAAGAATTAGCAGAGCTCAAAACTCAAAAGGATACGCTAATCTCTCTCTTGGGACAGAGATTTCAACGGTATCGGCTGTGCCTCTTGCTCTTCCTTTTACTGCTCCTATCATCATCATCAGAATCAGAGTCCGATGCCTCAGATGACGACGAGCTGTATCTTCCGCGCCTTCCCTTTCTCTGCTTCTTCTTCTTCTTCTTCCTCCTCCTTTCTTCCTCCGAGTCTGAAGAATATGAGCTGTAATCTGAGCTTCTACCTCCCGAGGTATCGGAACCAGTAACCGATGATGACCCGCTATCATTTTCACTGTCACTACCCGAATCAGAATCTGACCGGCGCTTTCTCTTGTTCTTCTTGGAGCGCTTCTCAGCTTCTTCCCCATCGGTTTTAGCATCTGGGTTGCCACCCTCCAGTTCGTATGAGATCGAGAGCCTCATTCTCAGTTTAGGGTTTTTAAGTTGCTGGGTTCTGGAGGGCCGGGAGATGTAGACTCTTTCGTTCTTGCACTCGTACGTCCAGTGTCCGGTTTGGAAGCATTTCTGGCATTGTGAAGCAGAGCGTCCAATAGCAGACGGACCTGACTTGTCTTTCCTTTCTCCCAATCTCACAGCCTTCTCCGTACTCATCAAATACATCTGCCTCTTTGCTTCCCGTTTCTCCTGCCATCTGCTCGGGCCTTCTTCCTTTTGCCCGTAGGCATTCACGTTCCGTGCTGCAGCAGTGGCAGCACGTTCAGCTTGGGCACGGCTCAGGCCTTTCGCAGCAGTTAGAGCGGCAGCCTTGATCTTTTCAGCTGCAGCCTGAGCTTTTTCTTCCTTGGAACTCGACATATCAATCACTTCTTGAGTATCAATCACTTCCTGGACCAACAAAATACTGAGATCTACTTCAGCAAGAACCTAGAGCTGATCCTATAGTCTCTGCATCCAAGAAATCACCAGAATTGAAAGGAGAGAAGACATTAGCAATGGGAAATCAGTTTTTAAGGTTGAACAGGACCAGGTACAATGCAAAAAGGGCAAAACCAATTACTCTTTCCAAACAAATCTTCGAGTCGAGTAAAAGAGCCAAAGCCCCAAGTCCTCAAAATCCCCAAATTTTCCAGATTCTCGTAAATTCAATTCACGGAACGAAGAGAAGCATAATCAGCTTCGGAGTTTCAGTAGGAACAGTGAAATCCCTAATTTCTCATGGCAAAGTAATTAACAAGTCGAAAGCCCTAGATTTCAAACATTCCCCAAAAAATCGATGCCTCAAGAGAAAGATTTCAACAGATAAAACCCTAGAAAACAAACAGACGATCCGTCTGATTCCGTTGTGCAATCGGAATCAAAACCAAACAACAGCCAAGAGCACTACAAAACGATTGAAGAGGAGAGGAAACGGAATCGAAACTGTGAAGAAGACGAAAATAATCGAACCTTGTCGAGCTCACGATCTGAAACCGGAGGATCACTTCACACGAGAAAAGAGCGTCTTTCTTTGTTTGTTTGGTAATCCTACAAGCGCTCATATCATATCCCATGTTGCATTCAAATGGGGCAATTGCAAAAATACACTTAAATGTCTTAAATGTCGATTTCACTTACAGCCTATACCTTCGCACAGAAAAAGACAACATCAGATATACCTTTATAAATATAGAATACCTGTAATAACCTTCTTTTATTTATATAATATTATAATATACTAAAATAAATAAAATATAGATATATTTTTTATCCCATTTTCTCTCTCCTCTTTATCGTTGTCTCCCGCCATACATCGCATTCTCTCTCTTCGAGTTTTTCTTCTTCTCTCTCTTGAATGTCTCTTCTCCAGCACGATTTTTTGGTAAATTTGCTGCGAAAAACAAGTGAAATCTCCAAGAAACTCATCCAATAAATGTAGATGTAGTGGTATTGCCGCTTATAGTGGAAGAAAAACGAGTAAGTGGAAGGTTTAAACAAAACCGATTTTCTGGACCTGGTGAGACTCGAAAAAAGAAAATCATGTTCGGTAGGTTCGGTCAGTACATCAATGATGTCACAGACGTATGAGTCATAATATTATGTTCGTGCATGTAATGACATTATCAATTCATATTTGAACTAATTCACTCGTGTATTATATGATAAAAACAGTCGTCAAACTGATCAAACTCGTCAAACTCATCGTAAACACTAATCAACTCATAACACTGGTCAAAGTCGTAACACGCATTCGGGGTTTCATGTTTGGGGTTTCTGAGTTTGACGAGTTTGACGTGTTTGACGAGTCAACGCG